TAAAACTAACAATCAGATCTGTTAAAATGATCTTACCCTAGGAATTATATACAAACACAGCTTGCAAGTTATTTTTATATCAAATCAGCTCCGGTCTGACATGGTTTCTTCAATTACTAAAAGGCATGCTATGCTCACATAAAAGGACTGATATCCCACAAACGTGCTGCCGTGTGTTTTTTCCTGGGAAACTCAGAATAGGATCTGTCAGGTATATCCGCTAGCGTAACAAACATGTCACCCAGATTTGCATTGGGAATTAAAACATTCTGTAGCCTGACAAAAGGCTGTGTGTTTCTAGCAACCGTGACGGAAAGAAGGCATTGCAATACCTAGATGTTGTGAGTTAAAAGTCTCTCATCAGACAGCTTGAAAAAACACTATAATCCCATGATGGAGCTTCCCTGAGTGGCAAGCCAAGCTCCAGAGAGCCGCGCTGCATCCCCAGGCCAGTCATCCAGGCAAGTCTAATTCTGTCGCCGCACACCCGACATTGTCTTTTATTCCTAGATTCACACACCAGTTATATCGGAACCACAAAGGTAGGAAAATGTATGTGTAGAAGGTGAGAAATGACATGGATATTAAAAACCCAACCCCATTTTCTCTCATGTCAAATGCGAAACGATACTATGGTATTTATAAAATGATATTAGAATCACCGTGCAGTAAGCAAACAATGATGTTAACGAGCATACAGGACAAAACCATAAAATGTATCCCCAGTATCTAATTTAAAAAAATTACATTGCTAGTTTAAGTGAGGAGTAGAGCTGGGAATTTCGCCATTTATAGAACACATTCTTCATAATCTGCCTTAAATAATCTCACTATATTATTATTCCATCTCTTAGTTTCAAAAGAATACCCGGCAGATATTTCTAACGATATTTTGTATGCCTCAAAATGGATCTGCACATATTTTAATCAAGATGCGCGATAACTGGAAAAAACTCTTTTCTGCATAACATAGAAGAAGCACTGTAATCAACACAGTTTTGCCTGAAATGCCACAAGCTTCACTTGTTTTTCAGGTCATTAATGAAAAACAGGCATCAACTTATTAGCAGATTCATAAGGGCAGTATTTTAGAAATATTTCCTATCACTTAAGTCCACGCGTAATTCAGTTGTGTCATTAGCTCCATAAGTAAAGCTTTTCTGGAAGAAAGATGTGACAGAAACCAAATAAAGTGCTCATCACAAATGGATAGAATTTAGCTTGTACAAATAAAAAACAGATTGGACAAATAAAAAGCATTCCAATAACTTTGCATTTTAAAAGGTGATGTCCATTAAAGTTATTTATTAAAAGTGTTCTTTTTATTGAGTAAGTATTACTGACAGGCTAGATTCAACTCTGACACGTGAAATTCAGTTTTTACCTAAATATCTCTACTTCAGCATGATGAAGGGCAATGAACCACATTCATCATAAAGAAATATTAGTGCTCATATTCTTCAGTTTGTATGAGATAAAAAAAAATTAATACAAATCAGGAAGTGACATAGGCTACCACTTTGAAACTACAATTTAGCACTCTTTTTGGCCATCTTATTATATACACTACTCCTTTTTTCATTTATTCATTTATTTTAATAGCACTAATTGATATGCTAAGAACATAAGCACATCTTTAAAAAGCAAAAGCAGGGCATATTGAGATCCTACATCAACAAACAAAAACTGAATGCATTGTTCATACCAGAAGCTTACCTTTGTGTATTTAACCCTGCCCTCCAACACTCGGGGTTGAACTTTATTATCTCATTTCCCAGTGAGTAAAATGAGACCAGAGAAGTTAAGTAACATATTCAAGTCACATAGCAAATAGTGTCACAGACAGGATTCGAATACAGGTCTGACTGATGCCAAACTATATTGCTAATGCTCATTAGCAATGCTATAACTAATTTGATTCATTATCTTTCTCCAAAATATAAGTAATGTGAAAGGTAGCTTCACTAATTAACATTCTTTGGTCTCCTATGAAAATGTTTACTTCTGTAGTCTTCTTACTTAATATGTAAAAGATAAAAATGTCTTCAAAGCCACCCCTCCCCCCAACCCCCAGAGCACTCACAAAGGCACCTGTAACTCAGTACTGAGCCTTCTGTGGGGCGAAGGGAGGGGTCAAAACACACCAGGGCCTCCTCCTGCCTGAGGAAGCTCCATTTTGCAATTAGCCTGACCACAGGAGGCACCTTTTTGCAATCCACACTAAAGTCACCATTTGTAAACTCCATTGCCCCAAGGGCCATCAATACATTTTTATTATCTTCTGTAACAGGATGTAGGAATTTATCAAACATTTTCTTTTCTTTCTGATAACCAGTTTTCTCCCGGGCAGAACAGACAAGAAATATAGGACATGGTGAAGTCTGCTGCTAGACTGGGGTCTGGAGAGATGTGATTCAGTTTAGTAAATTTAATTCAACACTCACTTATTGATGGGAGTTACCAAACTGATGGCCTCTGAAGGAGGAGGGGTTCTCAGGATCGTTATGGAAAAAGATGACTGGAAAGATGAATAGTGAATTGTCATGCCAGAGCAGAGAATGAACTGAGATGTGCTAAGAGCTGCTACACCTAGTCTTGGGAGATCATTCTTTTTTCCTCAGGGAGACATGATGCGTAAGGAAGGCGAGAAAGAAGTTCGAGCAAGTTTGGAAGGAGGATAGGAAAGTGAAATACGAAGGGGCACACTGATACTCCTGTTAGCTTTTGCTTCCATAATGAGTTGTTTTTTTTTTTTAAGTAGTAAAATGCTGGTGTTGAAAATATACATTCAGTATTCAATAATACAAGTAGACAATTAATTACCAAAGGCATACTATGGCCTTTTGATAATTTTATCTAAATCCTGTCACTTATAAACAGTAAATAGTTATACTAGTTTCGTGCAACCTCAGAGTCTGAAAGTCCTTGACTTGCTTTTCAGCTCTGTCAGTTTGGTCCAGTAATTACCCTCTTTGAGTTTTGCTTTTCTTTTCCATCTCTTACATAGAAATCATACCTATAATAGGATTTCTATAAGGATTAAATGAGGTAATGTATATAAAACCCTTAGCGAGAGGTCTGGCATTTTACGAGCTCTTAATAATTGGTGGACATGACTAATTGCTTTGGTTTATTGGCTGGTCTGCTTGTTCTGTGACAAACACAATATGTCTAAAATGCCTGCAAGAAATCTGACTATACAGTATTTTAAAATCAGCAAACTTGGTTTGACTTCTAGTTTCCTTTCCTCAAGTAAACTTTCTTGTCATTTACACGGCAATCTTATTTTTAACAAATGCAAGGCGAAAGCTGCCATCCAAAGCTCTTAGAGCTGATAGCTGATGAATGGAACGAAACAAAGTACATTTTCGGAATGTTAGTACATAATTGCTCTTGCTTAAAATTGATCCCTTCAGTTTCAAACTTTGTCTGAGAAGCATCAAAGGCTATCATGTTAAGCCAAGGTTATGTACTCATCATGCATTTCATTCTTTAAAAAGCCCTACTATGAGAGGGAAATCTAGGATTTTTATAAAACAATCACAACAGATTTCATTCTGCTTTCTTCCTTTCTCGGGGAAAAGGAGAAAACAGTATTATTAGAGGAATACAAGAGACAGGATTCATAGATAGATGGGGTCTGAAGAACAAAAGATATCTAACAGTTCAAGATAATTCAAACAGCGGGCTTTGATGTTCTTCTTTAACTATGCTATCAAATCCTTTTTCTTTTTTTCACATTCCAATTGTACCAAATAGGAGAAGCCCATATACAAAAGAAACAATAACATGCTTGTTAATCTAATAACAGAATGTCAAGAACAGAAAACCTACCCTCCACAAAGTGTAATTGAGATTGCCTACACCACAGACAGTTTATGATCAGAAACCTTAGGGGAAAAAAGCCATCAATAGAAATAATGTTTCTACTGTGAGCTCATGGTCACAGCAAGGCTACAAGACCAGGGACATAAAGCCCTATTAATTGTACTTCCCAGGAGTCACCAAACATCTCTGTTTGCCTGCAAGAGTCCCGATTTCAACCTTTTATCCAGTGTAATTATTAATAGAGTACCTTTAACTCTAAAAGTGTCCCAGTTTGGACAATAAATTATATAGTCGCCCTGGGTTTACCCCTACTCCCTTTTACTTCCTTCTTCTCCTAAAAAAAAAAAAAAATAATAAAAAACCTTTAACTCTTCAGGTTATGTGAAAGGGAAGAAAAAAGTTATCTGTTTTTCTAAGCTCAGCTATTCATTTGACTACCCTTCATTTTCCTACAGCAGGAAAGATTTCTAGTCTGAATTGAATTTGACACGGTCCCATTCACCCATGAAATATTTTGGGCAGAATTACCCCTATCTTTCCCCACCACCCTCTCTCTCTACAAATTTCTGCCTAACTCTATGGTATGATGTTGAGTCTGCTTATTGAATTCTATTTGAAATTTTCAAGGAATTATATCTCACATGAGGACCCCTTAATATAATTGCTGTTTCTTTAAAAAAAAAATCAAATGTTCAACTTAGGTTATATAGCCAAGAATAGCAGTTCATATCAGCTGCAAGAAAGACTGAGCACCTTACAGCAAGAGCCCCTTAATCAAAAAGCAATCTTTTGGGATGAGTTAGTAGTACTTTGCCTCCAGCACTAACCAGATCCCCTACTTTCATTGTATATTTCCACAGGAGTCTAATGATGAAATACATTAGATCTTCTAACAGGTGAAGTAGAAACACACTTAAAGTATTGCCTTCTGAGGGTTGCATGGTGTTTCTAAAAACAGGGGGCGGGGAGGTCCACAGCAATAACAGCATCCAAACCAACAATGTATTCTATAAGCAAAAGCCTTGACAAAGAAGGGGGGAACTTCCCCTTTTCATAGAAATATTCATATGAATTCCTGATGTATATCGCAAAGAAGAGAAACACAAAACAGTTTGGTTTTGTTAATGGGTGGGCCTGGTGGTGCAATATTCATTTAAAAATAAAAGTCTTACCTTTTAGTCATGAGGTTGTCCCTGAACTTTATCCAGAAAAGCTCCACAGCTGCAAGGAAAAAAACAGAATCCATTTGAGGAAAAATATTCTGATATTGGAGAATAAAGATTTACATTTATCCCGTGGGCTTTATCTGCTTTAGACCTACCAAAACCCAAGCTTCCAATAGCGGATAGGAATATAGGATGTAGGTCTTCATCATTTGTACACAGAGGGCACAGATTTAATTGAATTATTTTATTTATTTATATTCTATTTATTTTCACATATGCATATACATTTACATATAATGCATGCATACAGACAGACAAAAATGCTTGCTCTCTTTTAATCTATATCCTTACATACACACACATACACAGAAGCACCTTTCAGACACATCAAGGTTGTGTAGCACATGTGATAAGCACAGTATCTCTCTTCCCCAAATCATGGTCTTATGAACCACCCCCTCCCCAATATGGTGGGGCCCTAAGAACAGAACAGGAGGTAATATCTGAAATTTTTGCTGTACCTTCAAAACAGCTGCAGCTTCCTTTCTGTTCTGCAAGTAGCCTAAAGTCAAACAGATAAAAACAAATCATGAATCAGGGTGAAAGGCTATAAATATGCTATGTTTGTTTTCTTCTGTTGGTTTTGTTTTTCTTTTGTTTTGTTTTTAACCTTCACTGATTTGGGGGAAGTAATTAAGTGTTTTGGCATAAAAGATCTCCTGCTGGGTGATAGGCTACATGGGGAAGGGAAATTAGACAAAAGGTATTGAGTAATAACCACAAATGACTTTATAGCCTATTCTGTTTGAATGTCAACAGAATTTGAAAGCAAGATTTGCAGAAGATAATCAGCAATGACTCCCCCAAGTATCATCAGGAAGTGACTATAATCAGCCATTTGCAAACTCTTACCTGCCACGATGATTTCTTATCTTAGTGGGAAAAAATGGCATAGTGACCTAAAAGCTCAAAATTATGAATGGCAGAAGTTCCCAAATATAAAAAGCATTTACTATCTGTCCAAAATTCATCAGCATTGAATTAATTTGGCAGATTCTTAATGGCTTTGCCAAGTGATGAAGTATGAATCACATAACATCGTATGCATTGCTGTAACTGCTTTGAGGCTTTTAAGGGTGCAAAGGGTGAGATGAAGGTGATAAAATAAATAAATATAACTATACATTTTTCAAATAAGGGTTGCATAAATAAAAATCATATTGTAAATAAAGAATCAAAAATAGAGAATCTAGGGGCGCCTGGGTGGCGCAGTCGGTTAAGCGTCCGACTTCAGCCAGGTCACGATCTCGCGGTCCGTGAGTTCCAGCCCCGCGTCGGGCTCTGGGCTGATGGCTCAGAGCCTGGAGCCTGTTTCCGATGCTGTGTCTCCCTCTCTCTCTGCCCCTCCCCCGTTCATGCTCTGTCTCTCTCTGTCCCAAAAATAAACACTGAAAAAAAAATTAAAAAAAAAAAAATAGAGAATCTAAAATATATAGTCTGTAATGCTGCACACTGCCCAAACAGATGGAAACTGTGGATTTGCTTCCTTAACAGTGAGATATTCACTTAGGTGAACAAATTGAAAGAGAAGCTGCTAAGAAACAATAATTGTTTTAGACAATATTAATTTCGTTATGATGACGTTCACCCATATATCCAGGCTAATGAACTTCATCATCAAGGAACTACTGAAAACTGACTGATGGTCTTAATATTTTGAAACTCTGCCTTCCAAATTTAGGTATGGATTTCTTTAAAGGGTCTTATTTTCTTATGCCAAGTTATAATCCATAAGAAAAGATTTTCCCATCTATCAGAAATCATATTTCTCAATGGAGACGGACTATATATATCATCCATGTGTCTAAATAACAGGTAAAAGAAATTCAGCTAGTGATATATTTTTTTAAATGCAGTCACTTTGCCCACATGATATTTACCACATTACAATTCCTGGTCATGATGAGCATTAGGAAACCCTGAGTAAGCCACCTCGATGGTTATTAAGATACTATGCTAAAGAAAAATATTTCCCAATAGGAGGTACTAATAAGGTAGCCAACAACATACAGAAAGCAACAAAATGAGAAATAATAAAAAGACAGCAACTGTGTGCAAGCTGGATGTTCCTACTTGGCAGCTAAAATATCCCTGAGATACTATGATCTGTTCCTTAAATGTCCAAGGGTTTCAGCTGTTAACAGATATCATTCCAAATTTTATTCAATATAATTTGACAAATACCTATCATGCATCTAAACTGTGTGTTCCAGAGGAACCTAAAAGGGATAAGTTCTAAAATGAGAGGAGTCACCCAAGCCAGGGGTTCTAGATATTTAGAAACAGAAACCATTGGGAACAAAAATATATCAATAAATATTCTATTAAAAGGCAATCATTGATATTTAATTACAAGCCATCTTTCAGCACCAAATTAAAAATTATTCATAAATATTGGTATTTTCTAAATGTCACACTAGCAAAAAAGTTAAACCTCCTGAGGAAAAATCCCCATATCCAGCCATATTTGTTCTTTCTTATCACCCTGAAGGGTGCACAGTTTGCCAGATCTCATGTGCCCTTTTTTTGTTGTTGTTCATATGGTTAAGGGCAGCCTCACATCAGTTTTTACAGTGACCCAAGGGGCAAAAAGACCCACAGCCTTTGGGTGTCCTCCAGACATTCCCCTGAGTATCCATTCCCTTTGGGCAAAGAGTTGTCTGGAAGCTGAGTCAGGGAAGCTGGAATGTTAGGTGTGTGAGGGTTAAGTTAGGTAGGGATGACCCTCTGTTCCCCATGTCAATGTTTTGTACCCCATGGTGCTGCACTTTTTCTTTTTCTTCTCCGTCCGCCCCCCCCCCCCCCTTACACCTTGATTCTAAAGTGTGTTCTCTGGAAGATTCCCATGTGTCTGTGCAGATGTGGAGGACTAGCTCACAAAGCTGTTAGTTTTATTTGTAGGAAAGACTAAGACACAGTGTTGAGAATGAATTCATCTTTGGAAAGGGAGCATCAAACCACACAAATTGTGTACAAAGACAATGCTTCACAATCAGAAGGGAGGCTTTCCTTGCTTGGTTTTTCTCCTGACTACAAGGAGGGGGAGATCCCACTGGCGAGACCCCATTAGATTCCAAAGAGAAAACAGCTAACTGGAAAAGTTGGAGGGCAGTTTTCCTTGAGGAGAACTACCAACACGCAGCTTCTCTGATGGTGGCATGGGCAACAGACCACAGTGTGAGCAGGGGTGGGAGTCCTCATTCAAGGTCAATGTTGCAGCCAGGTTTAAGCATGGAATAGAATGATAGGAACTCAGGAACAGCAATTGGTTTAATTCAGCAGTCTTTATTCAGTGCCCAGGCCTGTGCTGGATCAGTATCAGTGAGTTGCTAGACCAGAGATGGTGGCTTCTGTCTGTCCCTGAAGTAAAAGCACTAGTATAGGAGACATGGCCAAAGTGACAGCTCCTTCTACCGACTTGGGCAGTGACAGTTCAGGGGCTTTGCTGCTCTGCTCGTAGGACCAGAGGGCACCACAGACAGCAGAAGGCAGGGCAGAAGAGAAACAGCACTTGAGCCCCCCACTGGGAAGCCCCAGAGCGACGGAAGACAAGCAGTTAGAAGGTCCTCATTAATAGTATATGCCTTTCCCTCCTTCTCCCTACTCTCCTTTGTCTGGGTTAGATTTGCCTCCCATATTGTTTAATAATGCCGAGCACATCTCTCATCATACTCTATCTTAGTTGTTTAACATATCTCCATTGTTTAACATAGCCATCCGGGCTGCAATTTGCTTGTTTAGTTTAGGGGTGGTACGTGGGGTGGATAGACTCACCTGCTCTTAGCACAGCTACTATGTCTAATAGATGTTTGTTGAGTGAATTGATGACTTAACACACAAAACCTCAACTTGCTTCAGAAATTATCTCCACTTTCACAGGAATGTAGGTCATCTAATTTCATATCTTTACCAGCCACGAGTCTTTGGGCTTCTCAGTGGAGAAAGTGGAATTCAGGATGTGGGAATGGAACAGAAGATTGGGGGTGGGGGGAACCTACATTGCATTTTTCCTGGATATGATTTGACACTTTTGTTTTAATTAAGATTTTTATCTTCTTTGTCTAAGCCTGTAAAGGGGACAGAAGAGAGCCTGCAGGATATTAACATGTATCAGCAGAGATACAAGAAGGTACATAGAGGCACCTGGGTGGCTCAGTCAGTTGAGTGTCCAACTTGAGCTCAGGCCACGATCTCACAGTTTGTGAGTTTGAGTCCCACACTGGACTCACTGCTTTCAGCTTGTCAGTGGAGAACCCACTTTGGCTCCTCTGTCCCCTTCTCTCTCTGCAATATTTCTCTGGCTTATGAAACAGTTGCCTTAATGTTTGGAGACTTTTCTCTATGTAAATATTCTAAGTTTGGAAAGCAGTTAAGCATCACCACATTCTCATGAACACGTTTTCCCTTTTTCAAAAATAAACATTCTTCCACGAGGCTATAGGGTAGCCCATCCTGCCAGGGCTGCAATCAGATTCACTTTGGTTTCCCTCACAGACCACTAAGCAGATGTATGATCCATGCCATTTTTTAAACTGAACTAACGTTAAATTATTTGGCAGATTAACATCAAACATGAAATTTGCATCTTTGTCTCATTAGGGATGATAATAATTATACATCTGCCCATAATGATAAATTATTACATCAAATGCAAAGGGTAGGTCTGCCTAATACGATAGAAGACATTGGCTTTGCTAAACATTTTGATATTCAGAAACTTTAAACCACATGCACGTCATTTAAGCTCTTGGGAAAGAGAAGCATAAGGCAGCAAGTACAAAATATTGGTCCAGTTTTTCACATTTTGGGGGCAAGGGCAACAGAGACATCGTGGGCTACTGAGGTGAGGTTCTCAACAAAAGGCTCTGCAAATAACAGCACCCCATCAAAGACTCTGACTTATACTGCTTAGTTTCTCTAACCACACTCACGTAGGGAGCTTAGTGCAATTTTGTACAACCAGAAGCATGTCTGATTTAGATGCACTGAAATCTCAGTCCCTGCCTAGACTTACTGCCACCTGAACTGGAGCAGGTCCCCTCACACCTTCACCCTCAGCCACCACACCTATACAATGGAATTGATGTTAATACTATGCTGCATAGTTATGAAATTTTAGTAAAACACGGCATGTGAAAAATCTTGGAAATATGAAGACCTCCACCAATGTTAGAGTTAATACATTTATGTCACTACCTTAATTCTAGATAGCTTTTCATGTAAGTTTTAAGGCAGCTAAATCAGTACATATAACATGCTTGTCACTTAGAAGACAGAATATTGGGAAACTGACTTCATTTTTCATGTTTCAGGTTTCATCCAGATGTTTTGGCACTTTGGAGCCAGAATCATTTTTTTTTTTTTTTTTTTTTTTTTTTACTTCCAGAAGCATTTCATTTCAGCTGGGAGTGCCAGATTCCGGATGACTGTAATAAGCCACATTAATTCTTATCTTTTGCAGTTCAATTAATGTTGCCATTGAAAAACCAAGATGCAATTATG